ACCACTCATGCAAATGCTTGCCGAAGGTGTTAAAGTTGGCCTCGCCATAGGCGGCATCCCCAATCCCGAAGACCGCGAATCGCTTCTTCTCCAGCACGTTGCGCGCGACCCGATGATCCTCAAAGGCGTCTTTCAGAATCGCTTCGAATCCTTGAGAGCGCGGAGGGGCCTTGCCTTCGCTAAAGGTGCTCACAATGAAGATGTTGAGGACGTAGGAAGGGTCCTCAAGGAGCATATCCACACTAAAGGTGTTCAGTCCCTTTTTTTGATGATTCGCGGACGCGGAATTCACACCAGCGTTGGGATCCTCGGCAATCTCCAGAACCTTCACGATCGGCGTAACGAGACTTTTGGAGGTCGATGCACTATTATTTAAAATGGAATTATTATTAACATTATTATAAATTGAGGAAGAAGCCTCTTTGTTACACTGTAAGGCATTCTTCTCACCCTCCGCTTTCCCCCCAGAGCTGCATAAACAGGATGATGCTCCACCACAGCAGTTGCTACTGTTATTGTTATCAATATTTTCCTCTTTTCCGCACGAAACCTGCTCATGTAGAATATTCGTCAAAATGTTAAGTAGTTTATGAGCGAGAATTAACGAGCTCTGCGAGTATGTCGCGTACGCAATCACAATCTTGGGCATCGATTCCTTCATTTCAACATTTTTCTTGGATCTGGTTTCATTTTTTTTGTCATCCTCAATAGTAGAGCGTTTTAACGTCGTTGAAATCTCCTGAACAGAGGCCTTGCCAAGTGAATTTTGGTTTGCTGTATCAGTAATATTGTCATCCAAACAGGAAGAGGGCGTCAGTTGGGATGGATTTCGATGAATGAAAAAACGTAATACCACAAAAGGCAGCCCGAAAAAAAACAATCCATAAAGCAAGAAATCGAAAAACATTGCTACTAATACAACTGTAGATATCTATAGAGAAAGGATATGTAAATATATGTGAATATAAATATGGGTATTGTTACTGATACGCATAACAGAGTAAAAAGGGGGATGTCTCGATTAAAACCATAAAGAATATCCACAGTAATAGAATAAAATGAATTTTTTAATAGAGATAATATCAAGATTGAAAAATTGACGCTATGGTGCATGTTTAGACAACATTAAGAAACTATTTATTAACATTTATAGTGGAATGTTGCGGCCTTTAGGTGATCATCAGGTGGAAAAAAATGACCACACCTTTACTAATCCCTGAAAGAAGAAGAATGCCAACTTGTAAACAGAATGTCAATTCTTACTTATTGAATCATATAAATTTTCATTTGAGTGATTTGTTTTGCCCTGAATCTTAACTGAGAATATTCATACGTGTAAAGGGCTTGTACGGATGCACTTATCCGGTATAACCTCATTTTCCATGGGGGAAGATGGGGAAAGTAAAAACCCTTCCTACTCCCCAATGGAGAAATACAACTTCATCAAGATCATCATTGTGAATACTTCCATCTTGGATTTCACTAAATTCAGTAACCAAAGACACGTTCTAGGTCGCCTGGCATTCATATCATTTTTGTAAACTTTGAAGCGATCACATCAAAAACGTTTTACAACGATTTTTTTTTTTGTAAAAGCATTGATGTTAGAGGCTTATAAATAATTTCTCATATACAAATTGTTTCTCATAATACTTTTCACTAATAAGCAAAGGGATCTACCGTTTGATCATACCTTGACATCTTTGTGGAACCAGCAAGGTACGTAATTATAAAAAATACTATAACAATTTATAGCAAGCCTCTTCTTCTTTTTTCTCTTGTCAGCGTACCTAAGAGGGAGAATGGGATGTGGAGGAGGTGTATTTTTTATGATTTCATTACGCCTTTAGACCCATCCAACAACTGAATCGCAGCTAAAATCTCCTTCCGAGCTGTTTTACAGTCGTAAAACTGAAGAGCACACACCGCCTGCCTCGCGCGCTGCTTTGCAGAATTCATCGCTTCCACAGATGGAAGTGGATTTCCTGTTGAGGTTGAATTTCTATCCATCTCACGGCTGCTAATAGATAAAACTAAAAGGTTTATAAGAAAATTTCAAGCCCTATAAAATATATAAATAACTTTCCACACGTATAAAAGAAAATGTGGGAAATAAAAATCTATTTTGATCACTTGACTGTACTTGAAATGGTTGACTTTACTGTTCTAGCATTGACTCATCATCATCAAGATTATTAAATACACTTCCTTTGTTTTTTTTTAGACGTTCCGTCATAATAACAAAACACACTGATATGTCTTTGAAGAAGAAGATATAGAGCTTAGCTACACCAATAGAAATTAAAGCTGACAATATAAGTGAAAGTATTTATGTATGAAAAACATAAAGAGAGAAACCCCTTCCACATTCGGGAGCCAATGACTCAATGAGCGGAACAACAACAATACTCATATTAATTGTTGCAATCAATTTGAAAAAAATGAGTATAAACCAACGACACTACTAAAATCTTATTATTCTCATGATCCTAGACAATAAAAAGACATCAAACACTCGCTAGTCCCAAGCGACATCATGCATACGCCAAAGATGAATCGTTAAAGGATCCAAGTCAACCTCTCACCCCGAATAAGTGTAAATGCATCGCAACATCTTTTCATTTTCTTCAAAAACAAAGCAGAAAAGTAAATGCACTAATTTTATGACTACTGGTCTAAAAATTCCAAAGCTTGCCGAAGAAGCTTTCTTGCACTTTCGCTATCATTAAACTGGAGCGCAGTGACCGCCTGCGAGACGGACTTTTGGGCATCCAAAATCGCATCCAACGAGAGATCGGCGTCCTCAGCGTTGCCAAAGACCTCCGTCATTGCAGTAAATTGACTTTCCACAGGTGTCTTCATTGTTGAGGTGATTCCTACCCCACCAGAAGGAATACCCTTCGATTTGAACTGCACTGGCTTCGAATTCACAGGAGAAACGTAGGGCGGCGGCGCTAAAATCGGAGAAACACTACCGCCGTCGTTAAATTTAATGGCATTTTGAAAATCTTCATCGACGGGGGATGCTGAAGGAGGAAGAGGACGATGATTAGGAAAAAACAACGGAGAAATGCTGCCTTGATCCTCACCTACCTCGTTTCTCAACCTCTCATCCGGCAAAAATGACGTTTCCTGAGAGGGGGTTTCCTCAATTCGGTTTCGACTTATATAGGGGTTGTTGTTATCTACTGCCTTCTTCATGCACGCTGCGGTGTATTTCGCGTATTTACACTTTTCCTTCGCAATGGGATCCATCTCCGCGTCCTCGGTAAACTGGATAGTGGCCTCAAAAAGAAGCGCCGAGGTAAAAAACAAACGAACAATGTTGAGGTCTGCCTTTCCAGATCGCTCGTCGGTGTCCGCCTTGCTAAAGAGCATAAGCGCGTACTTTGTCAGAACAGTTCGCCCATCCACGTTCTCTAACTCCTTTCCGAGAAGCCTCTTGTCGTTTTCCAAGTCTCCCAAAAGTTGCTTCAGAAATTTCAAATCTTCCTTGTCTTTGGTACGATTTTTCATGCATAAATACGCAACGTGTGTACGCAGAAAGTAGGAAACAACGGGATGCTGCTTCGCAAACTCGTCCGCACGCAGAAGAAATGGACGAACGATCGTTGTCCACTTTGTTGGTACTTGCGCAAGCAAGGGGCTAGACATAATATAAAACTAAGTGACAATAAATTCTAGATTAGTATGTGTTCAATGAATATAAAAGCAAAAGGCAAATGGGTCAAATCACTTACGCTCGCCCTAAAAACAATAATACAAGGTGTTTAATTGTTTCACATTTTCTTTTAAAATTAAAAAATACGCTCAGATGAAATTTGAACCCCGCACTATCTTGCGGTTCTATTTCAAAAAACTGATGAAATTTTAAAAAAAGATACTTAGTACGTAAATCGTTTAAACGTCGTAATGATATAAAAATTATATCAATAAAAAAATCCATGAATAGGTCCATTTAAGGAAACAAGAAAACAACAACAATAACGTAAAGGTATAATGCTACTTAAAAAAAAAGCAGAGATGTTGTTGTACGAAAAAGCTTTAATAATGAAAAATATCGTTACCAGCTAGTTTCAAATTGACATTTTAACTTAATTCAATTACGCTGAGTGTTTTCACTTTTTCTTGGTTTGCTTGCTTCTTATATATATATATATATATATATATATATAT